AAAAATAAAGTCTGTCACTGTTTTCACTGTTTCCCCATCTATGTGCCATGAAGTGATGGGACCAGATGCCATGATCTTAGTTTTCTGAATGTTGAGCTTTAAGCCAGCTTTTACACTCTCCTCTTTCACTTTCATCAAGAGAGTCTTTAGTTCTTCTTCACTTTCTGCCATATGGGTGGAGTCATCTGCTTATCTGAGGTTACTGATATTTCTCCCAGCAATCTTGATTCCAGCTTGTGCTTCTTCCAGCCCAGTGTTTCTCATGATGTACTCTGCATAGAAGTTAAATAAGCAGGGTGACAATATACAGCCTTGACATACTCCTTTTTCTATTTGGAACCAGTCTGTTGTTCCATGTCCAGTTCTAACTGTTGCTTCCTGACCTGCATACAGGTTTCTCAAGAGGCAGGTCAGATAGATGGTCTGGTATTCCCATCTCCTGAAGAATTTTCCACAGTTTGTTGTGATCCACACAGTCAAAGTCTTTGGCATAGTCAATAAAGCAAAAGTAGATTTTCTCTGGAACTCTCTTGCTTTTTCAATGATCAAGCAGATGTTAGCAATTTGATCTCTCATTCCTCTGCCTTTTCTAAAACCAGCTTGAACATCTGGAAGTTCATGGTTCACGTATTGCTGAAGCCTGGCTTGGAGAATTTTGAGCATTACTCTACTAGCGTGTGAGATGAATGCAATTGTGCGGTAGTTTGAACATTCTTTGGCATTGCCTTTCTTTGGGATTGGAATGAAAACTGACCTTTTCCAGTCCTATGGCCACTGCTGACTTTTTTTTAATTTGCTGACATATTGAATGCAACACTTTCACAGCATCATCTTTTAGGATTTGAAATAGCTCAATTGGAATTCCATCACCTCCACTAGCTTTGTTCGTTGTGATGCTTCCTAAGGCCCACTTGGCTTCACATTCCAGGATGTCTGGCTCTAGGTGAGTGGTCACACGATCGTGGTTATCTGGGTCATGAAGATCTTTTTTGTACAGTTCTTCTGTGTATTCTTGCCACCTCTTCTTAATATCTTCTGCTTCTGTTAGATCTGTACTATTTCTGTCCTTTATTGAACCCATCTTTGTATGAAATGTTCCCTTGGTATCTCTAATTTTCTTGAAGAGATCTCTAGTCTTTCCCATTCTATTGTTTTCCTCTATTTCTTTGCATTGATCGCTGAGGAAGGCTTTCTTCTCTCTCCTTGCTATTCTCTGGAACCCTGCATTCAGATGGGAATACCTTCCTTTTCTCCTTAGCTTTTGCTTCCCTTCTTTTCACAGCTATTTGTAAGGCCTCCTCAGACAGCCACTGTGCTTTTTCTCATTTCTTTTTCTTGAGGATGGTCTTGATCCCTGCTTCCTGTACAATGTCATGAACCTCCATACATAGTTCATCAGGGACTCTATCAGATTTAGAAACAAAATGGTACTTTTGAAAAAATAAACTGTCCAGAAAAATGTATGGATATTTTCCACATATGATATCTAGGAATAGCAAGCATGGACTTGAATTTTCCTGGTGGCTTAGATGGTAAAGAATCTGCCCATAATTCTGGAGACCCACGTTCATTCCCTGGGTTGGGAAGATCCCTTGAAGGAGGGAGTGGCTACACACTCCCATATTCTTGCCTGGAGAACTCCATGGACAGAGGAGCCTGGCAGGCTGCAGTCCTGGGGTTGTAAAGAGTCAGACACGATTAAGTGACTAACACTTTCACTTTTCAAGCATGGCCTTAAAGACATGAAAGTAACAAAATATTGTCTTCCTTGCTAGCACAGGTCCTTAGTTATCCTACTGATCTCACGTGCTGTCCCAAGGAATATATAAGCCCATTTCAATGTTGATACATCATTGAATCACTTTTATAAACATAAAGCCCAAATATTACAATGCTTTATTCTAGTTAAGTTCTAATATGTATGAAGATTCATCTCTGCTACAATGCCTGAAGATTTCATAAAATATTTATGACCGGTTCAGTCTTTGTTGAGAATAACAAAACATGGGAAGTGTGCAAATTATGTCTCCTCTGGTTAAAAACTCTATGTGCCTTTAACTTTACTGGAAGATTTAGGCTACAAATAAATGTAGGTTTTCAACAAATCTGATCCATAGTAGAGTCCAATATTTTGTCTCCCCACCATAGGTCACTATGTTCAAGGTATAGTGATATGTTTAAGAAATTATGAAATAAAATTATTGACTGTGACCTGATTTATAATATTTCAAGCTTTATTTCATTTGGAGTGGAACTGTAGTATAATTTGCAGCTCAGCAACTCAGGAATTCCCTGACTCCCTTATTACAAATCACATATTTTGAACTCTCTTCCTTATAAATAAAGTGGCCTTCCAGTATCTCTATTGTAGCATTATTGTTGGTGTTAAATGATATAACCTGGGTAAGGTGTCTAATACAGTGTTTGACACTTGGCAGATTCTCAGTGAATGCTAGTGGCATGTCGTGTTTTTTCCATCAACTTTATTTATTCCAACAAATATGATCACATAAAGTGTATGCAGGAAAGACTCATTTGGATAAGCTTGAAGATTCAAGCCTCAAGTGCAGCAATAAATCAGAGTTTGAGATGGTTATTCAGACCTCTAGCAATTTCATCCATCTCTGAAGACGACAGATTCCAGGATGGAAAACCCACCATATGGAGAGTGTTCTCTCCCTCAAGGGTCCCTTTCACAAACAAAGGTTTGTACACATTTGAGATAAATCACATTTTTGAGCTATCATCACAATTTTCCTATAAATCTAATCTATTTTAAAACATTAAAAAAAATACCCTCTGAGAAAATGACCCAAAATGAGAATACACACACACACACACACACACTTTTAAAAAAATTAATTAATTAATTTTAATTGGAGGCTAATTACAATATTGTGGTGGTTTCTGCCATACACTGACATGGATCAGCCATGTGTGTACATGTGCCCCCCATCCTGAACCCCCCTCCCACCTCCCTCCCCATCCCACCCCTCAGGGTTGTCCCAGGGCATCGGCTTTGAGTGCCCTGTTTCATGCATCGGACCCGGACTGGTGATCTATTTCACGTATGGTAATATACAGGTTTAAATGCTATTCTCTCAAATCATCCCACCCCTGCCTTCTCCCACAGAGTCCAAAAGTGTATTCTTTACATCTGTGTCTCTTTTGCTATCTCACATATAGGGTCATCATTACCATCTTTCTAAATTCCATATATGTGTGTTAATATTATTGTATTGGTGTTTTTCTTTTTGACTTACTTCACTCTATATAATAGGCTCCAGTTTCATCCACCTCATTGGAACTGATTCAAATGTATTCTTTTTCATAGCTGAGTAATATTCCATTGTGTATATGTACCACAGCTTTCTTATCCATTCGTCTGCTGATGGGCATCCAGGTTGCTTCCAGGTCCTAGCTATTTATTGTAAACAGTGCTGCGATGAACATTAGGGTACACACACACACACACGCTTTTGAATGTGGAAAAGTTCAACAGTGAAAAATTGGAAATAAATCAGGTCTGAAGAATTTTGAACATAACTGAGTGATCCACAAATAATAGTGGATGCTATATTGTCATTTAAGATTCCAAAAATATGGAATATCTTGATAAATGGAAAATTATCCTTCAGTGAGATATGGAAAAGCAAAACATATAATAGTATGTTTACTCTGGTTATAAAAATTTCAGAAGATAGCCATATTCACATTAAAAATAATTTTAATATGAAAATGTAACAATGAGGTAGTGAGATTTCAAATTTGTGGATATTTTCTGTGGATGTATCAAGTAAAATATTAGTAAGTATTCCCTTATTCAGATGGAAACAATTCTCTCCTCATTCAGATTTGTTACTCTGAACATTTATTTTTCTCAACCTAATTGTTAGATTCTTGAGGGAAAGTACCCTCTTTATTCTATGAGATAGTCACCCAGCTACCTTACTATCTCCAGCCCTGGTGTAAAGTAAGAATTCAGTGAAAGCTCACTAAATAAAAACTTTAATTTATTTGTTAAACCTTAAAATATTTTCTATACCTTTCTGTTCAATATAATAACCATGTAAACATTAAAAAATTTAATTTTATTGTTACAATATACAAATAGAAAAGTACTGAAAAGTGTTCAGCTTGATGAATGTGGTAAATAGAATTATTGCTTAGCAAATATGCACTCATTCTCCCCTTTCCCTCCACAGCCTTCATGGGAGGAAGAATACTCCCCAGCCCTTTGATGTTGGATCTGGCCATCTGACAGGTTTTGGTCAATGAGGTGTTTATAGACATGATATGAGAAGACGCTTCAACAGGCATGCACAGTTGGGTTTGACTTTTGCATTTATCCCATTACATGAGAACTTGGGTAGCCACTGACTCATAGCAATGAAAGACACGTGAAACAGACCCGGTCCAACCCTCTTCTGGAGCCAACTTTGATCCAGCTGAATCTCACCTAGATCAAGCGCTAATCCATAGATTCACAAGAGGGAAATAAATAATTATTGTCCAGTGACACTGAGTTTGGGGATGACTTGTTACACAGTTTTATTATGACAATTACTGATTGATACATTTGATGTTGCATTGAATCTGTAACAATTTAAAGAAACTGACATCTCTGTATTAAGTCTTCCAATTCATAATTGTGATTTACTCTTCTGTTCACTTAGGTATTCTTTAATTATTGTCAATAATACTTTATGATTTACTGAATGATTATCCTGAAATCATTGATTATTATTAGGTTATTTTTATTTTTTGCAAATGGCATATTTTTAAAACTTTGAAAATTTTGATGGAAATATAAACATTATACTATCCAACAATTTTGCAAAATTTTTTATTTAGTCTAATACTTTATTTGAAGATTATTTTGGATCTTCTATGTACAATTATGTTGTCTATAAATAATGAGAACTTTATTTTCTCCTTTGCATATTTGTATCTTTCATTTCTTTTTTGTCTTTTTGCATTGACTAGGACCTTCAGGCAGGATGTTTAGTAGAGGTGGAAATAGTGGACATCTTTTATTTAATCATGATCTGTCACAGGTTGGGTGGCCTCAGAAACAGATCTTGAGATGGAGATTAGTGTGTGGAAGATGTGTTAGGAGTGATCCTGGGATCTACTGGGTAGATGGAATGAAGTCACAGGAGGACTGGATTGAAAAAGAAGTTGGGCTACAATGTGATCACAGAGAATACCTCAGCCAACCCATGAGGACCTCTGAAGCCAATGCATCTCTTTCAAGTCCCTCCAAGTGGGAGAAGAGGACCAAGTTTTGTGTCTCTGTATTAACCAGTGACTGGTTGAGGACTCTCCAGGTGAGGAAGGTGATGTACCTTTGGATGAGGTGATTCTTCAGTCAGTACAATTTCTAAAGGAGGTAGACAACTAAGGGGTCCCCTGCTGGAAGTACTCCCAAAGGCTGGGGTAATAAGTCCTTCACTTGTGAATGGCTCTCTAGAGAGCATCCACTATATAAGTTTTCAGTGGGAAAGATTTTAATTTTACAATGTTTTTGTCTTAGTGTTCCCTAAACAATAAATGTGACAACACTAAAAATAGTGATGATAAAAAGAAAATGATAAATAAGAATAACTGATATTTCTGTAACAGAGTGTAAAATGGTCCTTTTCCCATTGTTTTAGAATTTCAGCTGAAGGGTACAGTTGACATTTCCATGAGGGCTTGCTATCACTTTGTATCCATTACTTCAAACAAAACTATGTAATAAAATGTGAGAAATTTAAAAGAGAAAAAGTTTTCTGTGTCATAGTCTTTACTCTCTTAAAACAAGGGGCTTTCTAAAGAGATTTGTTTTTGTTGTTAATGTTGTTTGTTTGTGCTGGCTTTTATTTTTTTTCAGGAGAAGAGAATTGAATCTTATTTCCCAGCTGGATTTAACAGCCTATTTATTTAACAGCGTAAATGCATTGTTTTGCCTTATGTTACCCTTGCTGAACTTGAGAGCATCAGGAAAGGTATAGAGTCTAGCACCTGCATTTGGTCTGAGGAATGCTGAAGTCTGAGGTAGGTTAGAGCTACATGAGAGCAGGAGGGACAAAGAAGGCAGTTTTGGTATCAGCAGCCTGAATGCAAATGTCTATGGGTCAAGTGAGTCCACTGAAAATAGCCACATAAGCCGTCTTGGCAGAATTCTATTGAAGGAGGTGGTTTCAGAAGTGTGAAGGTCTTAGCTGAAAGAGTCTGTGGGTTCACCACTGAGAGAAGGGGAAAGGGTACAGAAGGGGTCATGAGAGGTCAGCAGGAGAGGTCATGACGTGTGTCAGGGGACAGTGCCCTGTAGAGATCCTGTGGAGGGATTCTCCAGACAAACCTCAAATTTTCTCTAGGAAAGAGCCTGCATTTAGAGCTTCCCACAACTGAGGACATGGGTGGGTTATAACAGCGCTAGACAAGCAAGATTTTGACCTTTTCTTTTAACCTCTCTCCATCAGCTATTCTCATCTTCCAACTTTCTTCCACCCCCAAAACCCCAGCAATGCCAGTGCTAGACCACATAAAGGAGGAAGAACAAAATACCAACAAACTTTCTCAAGCCTCAGATCTGACCTGAGAGGATGGAGTCAAGGCATAAGAGAGTAGAGGTTTTACTGTAGGAGTAAATACTGAATTAGACCTGGTATGAAAATTTTGCTTTAGTCTTAAACTAGTTTTCTAAGCAATTACTGTACCTGTTCACGACATTGCCAAGAGGTAGAAAAGGGTGATTTAACTCACTGCTTAAAGGCAGTGAGAGAAAAACACAGCCCTGATTCTCCACTAATATCAGACAATAACAACAATAATAATAATTACTAAAAGTAACCACAAACCTATTTTCAGGGTTTTACCTTTTATGAAACACTTTATTGTTGTCTAACTCAGGGGAACCCCGTCCCCAGGTCACAGACTATTACTGGTCTGTGGCTCCTTAGGAAGTGGGCTGTGCAGGAGGTGAGCAGTGGGTGAGCAAGAGAAACTTCATCTGTATTTACAGCCACTCCCCATGGACTTGCATTACTGCCTGAGCTTCACCTCCTGTCAGATCAGTGGCAGCATAACAAATGTAATCATCTCCAAACTCCACCCAGTCTACGGAAAAATTGTCTTTCGTGAAACCAGTCCCTGGTGCCAAAAAGGTTGGGGATCACTGGTCCAACATATAGACATTGTGTTCTTTGTCTTGCTCAATACAACAATAATCAATATTGCTTTTCTTTCTAATACAGGATAGTGGAGTAATCTGTAGCCTTTGCTAGAATGCTCTTCCTTCTATTTTAACCTAGTTACCTCCTACTATGCCAGAGTCCAGGTCAAATGTCTTTACCTCAAAGAAGACATCTGTGGTCCTCCAGATTTACCCATACTATGCTTTCATAATGCCCACTATTTCTAATTCATAATACTCTTCATAATTTTACTTTAAAAATATGTAATTAATTAGTTAATACCTCATGTTAGCTTCATGAGAGCAGGCCCTACTGGATCTCACTCAGTATTAATTTTCTGGTGCCTACCACAGAGGCTTACACATACTAGGGGCTCAAGAGATTGTAGCTGAATAAATAGAGAAAAGATGAAAGACAGAACCAATATGCCTTGAAATCCCTTGTTCCAGATTAAGAAGAGTTTCTTTGGAGTCATGGTTGATAAAGTTTCAGGCCCAAATGCCTTTCTGGTAGTAGTCATTTGAGGCTGCATTTGATGCTATACTGTGGCCTGTTCAGAGACACTGAATTGGGTGGGGAGGACCATCAGTGTAGATGGCTGGGAAGGGTGGATCACAGGTGGACTTGATACTTTTGTTTTAGATAGCAGTTCTATTCATTAGCAAGCCCCTTGTACTTCATCCTTGTAAAGATAATGGGATAACTTTTTTCTAAAAGCAGGTTCTTTGGTCCCTTTGAAGGAGAGTGCTATATAAGTCCATGATGTTATTTTTTACTAATCAAAGGGAAAAAATGTCAGGCTAACATCAAGGACAATGCTTTTGGTAATTTTTTAAAAGGTTGTGCATGCTTTTATTTAGCAGTCAATTAGACATCTTTTTTAAACATAAAACTGAGCAGCTGATATTTCTTTTTAATGACATTTTCTTACCATGAAAAATTGAGCATATTTTCTAATGAATTATTAGAAAAGATCAACTATCCATTCATAAGGACTTTTAAGGCTACTATATCCCTTCCCTCCTGGCATTTTAAAACATTTAAATTAGCTTGGTAATGTTTTAAAATTCTACTCATTGTAAAATACATAAATAAAGGTTTACCCTGAGGCTTCCAATTATGCTAAAGCAGATTTCATTTCACTGAAATGTTATTTCTTCTTTGACTTTTGAATATGGTGATTGTTAAAGATCTTTCCAGAGTTAGATTGCTATTGACTCATTTCCCTTTCTAAATGGGTTGGGTTTTCAATCTTCATTTGCTGGTGGCTAATTATCAACTGATCAACTAAGAGATACCATAAAATACAAGAAGGAAGGTATTTTACTAAATTTAATTTCAGGATACATAAAGCAAATCATTATGCCATACACCTAAAAGTAATACAATATCATGTCAATAATATGATAAATAATTTTTTCAGGAGGCTTCCTAGAAGGTTAAAATATAAATGTAGCCAATGCCACGTGTGTTAACTAAATGCAGCAACTTATAGAAAGAAATAAATTATTTATTTTTATTAATAATGATACTGATCTTATTGGCCAATAATCACATGACTAATAATTATATATGATGTAATATTCATTTCTTTAATCATTAACCAGTTTATAAGACAAACATATGAGAAGTTTATGAATAAAGGGACTATCTTCCCTCTATTAATCTGGTTAAATTATTATTATTGGCCAAATAATTTTTATGGGGAAGATAATCAAGGCATAATCAGACTTACCAGAATTCCAGAGGTACACCTGCCTTAGATTCAGGCTGAAAAACTTGTTTTCAATCATGAATTTTCAAGATGAGCATAATAAGAATCAGAATCATGTTAACTTAAATATTAAAAGTACTATGACTTTAGTTTGTGTTCCCCATGCTGGTAACACTTAATAGATGTATTGAAGGGACTTCCCTGGTGGCCCAGTGGCTAAGACTCTGCGCTCCCAATGCCAGGGGCCGGGGTTTGATCCCTGGATGGGGAACTAGATCCCACATGCTGCAGCTAGGGGTTCATGTGTCTCAACTAAAGATCTCGCCTGCTGCAACTAAGACCTAGTGTAGCTAAATAAATAATAAATACTTAAAAAAAAAATAGATGTATTGAAGTCAGTACTTAATTCAGAAAAAACTAAAAAAAATAGATGTATTGAAGTCAGTACTTAATTCAGAAAAAACTGATCCTGTGAATAATATTTAATTTCCCACTCAATGATATAGCATTGCTCCTTATTTATTCAAGACATTTATTTTTGTCTCTAATGGAGTTTTTGGCTTGAGCCTAATGGAGCACACCTTTGGATTCTGTCAGTTTTAGGTGTATCTGGGAAATTAATGGGCAGTTCCCCTGAGGCTTGATTGCATGAGAGAATGAGACTTCTGCTAGAAGAAAATGAAGTCTCAGGGAACAGCATGTCAGACAACTCATGAAATGAGTAACAAATTCTTGGACATACGTGAGGAACAGGCAAGACTGAGAGGTCTGCACAGAGCACAATATTTATCTCCTGTTTCAGCTGCATTCCCTTCCCTCAATTCTTATTCATATCTAAATTTCCCAGAGGAGGCACTCTGAAATCAAAAAGAGAAAATACTGTATTCCTACAAACCGCTCCAGCCATGAGATCACATATTTCTTTGGCACTCCTTTAAGAGATTATCAATGCCAAATGGGAGAGGGGTCTTCTCCAGCCTTCACCACAGAACGCGGTGCATCACTAAACGTAGGATTCACTGAGTAAGTGAGACTTGAACCAATGGACAAGGGGTTTCTGGCCAAGGTGGGGGTGGCAACTCTGCCTGGCTGCAAGGGATGTGGGCAGGGGGAAGGGAGGGAAGGGGCAGAAAGAAGGACTTTTGGGAAGTGGTGTACTCACCAAAGAAAGCTGGAGGACCCAAAGGAATGGCGGCATTCCACAGAAGTGCAGAAACAGAAGAAGGAGCACCTGGAGGAAATGGAAGTAGGAATGTAATATGTGCATCGAAGGAAGCAGTTTCTGGAGTAAAACAGTTCAACTGCTGTTCTGGGAAGTGATGAGGAGCTTCATTTAGCCCTTGGGATAAAGGGAAGAACATCTCCAAAGGGAGGCAGAGCAGGGAGAGAAATTTCTATATGGCTGCTGGCTTCTCAGCTCCAGTGAGACATTTAATTCCTGGGGGCTTCTGGATGGGGAAACTTTGCA